CCTCTTCCTCCTCCTCCCTCTATTCCTCTCCCTCGCCCTCCTTCTCCTCCTTCTCCTCCTTTTCCTCCTTCTCCTCCTCCTCCTCCTCCTCCTTCTACTCCTCCTCCTCCTCCTCCTCCTCCTCCTCCTCCTCCTCCTTCTCCCCCCCTCCCCCTCCTCCTCGCCCTCCTCCTCCTCTCCCTCGCCCTCCCCCTCCTTCCTCCTCCTCCTCCTCGTCCTCCTCTCCTCCTCCTCCTCCTCGCCCTCCTCCTCCTCCTCCTCCCTCCTCCTCCTCCTCCTCCTCCTCCTCCTCCCCCTCGCCCTCCTCCTCCTCTCCTCCTCCTCCCCCTCGCCCTCCTCCTCCTCCCCCTCGTCCTCCTCCTCCCACTCGTCCGCCTCTTCCTCCTCCTCCTCCTTTTCCCAATCGTCTTCCTCCTCCTCCTCCTCCTCCTCTTCTACTCCTCCTCCTCCTCCTCCTCCTCCTCCTCCTCCTCCTCCTCCTCCTCCTCCTTCTCTTGGACATTCGGTGGGGAGCGAAGGCTCGACGTAGGCGCTGCTCGCAGGAGCGAGGGCGGGGGCCACTCTGGTCGCGGTGGCACGAAGGTCTGGGGCCCCCGCCAGGGGCCTCAGAGGCCCCAGACCTTGCCGAAGTCGGCGCGTTCTCCCCCTCGACTCAGGGCGCCGCAAGCGGGGAATCCGACATACCGTGACGTTGGCGCGCCCGAGAAAGGTTAGAGTCGGAACTAGGCCAGAGGAACATTCTTCAAGAACATGCGACGCCCTCCGTCGTCCAGACCAAACAGAACATCCAAGGCAACCCTCCCCAGGATGCACAATAACGCCATGCAAGTACAAAGAGCATGAGGGTGCCCTCCCCGAACCGACCTCTCGATATTATCCCTCGGTCCGGCTGACTTCCTCGTTCTCCAGCTGGAATTCTCAGGGCCCTGATTTGCAAACGTCATGGCCTCGAAGGCCCTGCGAAACGTCGATCCCGGCCAGCGGAGGCCTTCAAACATCTTGGCCAGCGCCCACGTGGGAACCGCAGGGGGCCTGTCCTGTCATGACGAGCCCTGCCTCAAAGAACTTTCGAGCCTGGCTAATGGCACGCTTGTGGCCACTTGCTTTGGCACTACTGATCTTTGCAATCGCGGCAGCGCGAGAGAAAGATGAGAAGCGATCCATTCGAAGATCATCAGTGATACATTAGTGTCAAATGTCATTGAGAGGTCATGAGTGGGCCATTCGTTGGTCATTCGTCGGTCAAACTCACTGTGGGCCATTCGTGGGCCAAATTCATTCGTGGGCCATTAGCAGGGCCATTCGTGGGAGAGGGGCATTGGCGGGCCATAAGTGGGAAATGTGTGGAACATCAGTAGAACGAGCAAAAATTCGCCAGCCCAACGGGCCAGAGGCGTGCTAAGATCTCCGGTAACTATTTAACAATATTTCTACTTCGCACGCGCGGGGCGGCCCCTGGGGGGCCCCGGACGAAAAGTACCCCGGCCGATCCCCGGCCGGGTCCCGGGCGATCCCCAGGGGGGAGGCTATTTTTCGCCACCCCTCACGAGGATCGTGGCCTCCGAGGGGGGGGGGGCTGCAATCGACTACCCCCCCTCCCGCCCCAAGGGGCCCCCAAGAGCCCCCCCAGAGGCCCCAGGGGGGGCCCAATACGCCGCCAAGGAGTCCCAAGACGCTCCCAAGCAGCCCCCAAGAAGCCCCCAAGACGGCCCCAAGAGGCCCCAAATAGCGCTCCAGGGCCGGCGGAATGAGCGAAGCGATTAAAGAAAGAAGCATTCCGCTTAGCAGCTGTGAGGGAGGAGGGAAAGCCTCCCTGAGCTTTGGCCTCCAGGGGGAAAGCCGAGCGGGTCCAGACAAACGCCCAAAAACTACGACCCGGACCCAGATCGAATCGATCGATGCTGCAAGCGCAGGCATCAGCACGATCGTCAAGCCGAAATCGAATCGTGCGGATCCTGGACTCCACGGGACAACATAATAACGGAAGGCTGCATGACCAGAAGCTCTCGGAGGTCTGGGCGGATTTCCTGTGTCGGCGCTTGGCACCCCCCGCCCTCCCGAGGGGCAGCGCCAGAGGCCCCGCCGAGGGACTCCAGGGCTAATCCAAGAAGTCCGCGCGGACCCCCGAAAGTTTGTATGCTTATGCACTTTTTGACAAGGGTCAACTCAGGGATATACGAAGAGTCGAAAAGCGCCGAAGAGCCCCAACATATCACCCCCAAGAAGGCCCCACGAGGGCCCTGGAAACGACAGGGCCGTTTCTTACCGGCGCCGAAGAGGCCCCAGGGCCCTGGGCCTTTCAGGGCCCCCTGTTCACTTCGGAGGGCATCCATCGTGAATAGGTCGATAAGGGTGCGTCCGAACAGTCCAACAGGAGTGCACCTCTGAGTTATCATTATCTTCGGAACGACTCGATTCGTTGGAGGACACTTCGGAGAAGAGCGGCTGGGAACTCGCCTGCGTTCTCTTCAGCGGAGGACCAGTTGAGACAACAGTGGCTCTCTCGCCCAACCTAAATCCTGTCAAACTCTGTCCCAAGTCCCCTCCCGGGTTACACCGCGTCCAGTTCTCAAAACGTGGCGATAAGAGGCCCTCCTGAAGCTCCATGAAGAAGGGCGAAGAGCGCTGGAGGGGGAGGCCGTTGTCTCAACTGGCTCCCCTCCGAAATTTGGGGTGGGAAACTCCCCGCGGTGCATTGACATCCGCCGATCCTGATCTGTTCAATCCGCGGCACCAAAACTCCCGACCCCTTCCCAGGGGCCAGTTTGCCGCTCCGAAGCCGCTTTTGATGGCCTCAGGGCCCGCTAGCGAGCCCCAGAGGCCGGACTCGAGGAGGCACTCCCAGGTCGAAACAGAAAAACCAATCGTGGGACGTCTGGGCCTTTCCTCGGAAAAAAGGAACAAAGGCCCTGCGCGCGGAAGGCGCGGCGAGGAGGAATCCTGCTGCATCTTCGGGGGGCACTGCCCGTCCCATCGCGCCGCGATTCGCGCCGCGTCCGTGTCGAACGCGTCGCATCCGCGGCGACTCCGCGCCGAATCCTCGCCGAATCCGCGCCGGATCTGCGCGGAGCCCAGGTCGGAGGCGAGAAAGGGCCACCCCCCTTACAGGACGGGCAGGGCCCCTCGAAGCTGCAACGAAAGGGGGGAGAAGGCCGAGGCAGCCGCCCGCGGCGTTGCGCTGCTCGAGCAGCTCCCTGACCTCGCGCGCGCTGACCTCGCGCGCGCGCTCGCCTGGGCCCCCCCCTTTCGGGGGCGGTCAAGAGGGGGGCGTCCAAGAGGGGGGGCGCAAATCATGGCCGGCGGCATGTGCGCGGCCCAAGGGGGGGGGGGGGCCGGGGACGTTATGGAATAAGAAGAGGCGCCATGAGATCTGGAGAACTATCATGGCCTTTGCCATGATATTCCCCCCCCCTAGTCATCACCCCCCTCTTTGCCGCCCCCGACCTTTCGCTACGAGCTCTTTCTAGAGAAGCTGCCGGGCCAGCCCTCGAGAGCTCCGTCTCGCTGGCGCGGCAGCAGGACGGGGTAGAGAGGCAGAGGGGCAGAGATGGAGGATGAGGAACACCACTCCCACCAGAACAGGCGCAAAAACGGCGACGGAGCCCAGAACAGAAATCGTGCCCGAACCGCCCAGAGAGCTGCAAAACCAGTGAGAAAAACGGCCCCGTCGTTTCCAGGGCCCGCTGAGATCCAGCTGGGCTCGTTCCCTTCCCCAGACCCCGCGCGAACCTCCTCGCGCGCGCGCCCGCCCTGACTTCGCGCGGGCGCGCGCGCGCCCGGACCGAGGCTCCGAGGGCCGCGAACGCGCTCGGCAATCCCAGGCCTCCTTTCGCGAGAAGCCTATTTTTTGGCGGTGGGGCAGAGCGGCTGTGGAAAGGCCCCGATCGATCAGCTATCAGGCCCCGATAGCGGGCGGGGTGGGGCTAACTATGGTTCCCCTATCGGCGCTCAATGGGCGATTGGCGGACGATGCGTTCCCACCAACCGCCCCTGCGCCGTGCGCCGATACCCCCCCCTAACGTTGCACCTGATCGAGGGTTGCGAACACTTTCGGCACTCCAAGACTTCTTGCCGCCACGAGGAAATAACGACCGAGGACAAGCAAGAACCACGGCGAGTAATTTGTGCGAATGTTGGGCCCACTGGGGCCCATCCCCTTCCTTCGAGAGGGGAGGCGAAGCCTGCGCTTCGTCAGGCCCTGGCGCCCTCAAAAGAAGACTCGGGATGAGAAGCCGATCCGAGGAAAGCAATTGTATATTCGCGGCGACAGAAGGCCGTGGGGGGGAGGGGGAGGGGGCAGGGGGTCCGGCACCACAGCCTGAGACGATTTGGCTCGTAGCCGGCTTGAGACGATTTGGTTGCAGGAGCGTGTGGCCGAGTACGTAAAGACGTCAGTCCCCCTAGCGCTGCCGCGCACTCGCCGCCATACCCCGCTGTGGAACTGGAGGGGGAGGACGCTGCTTATACCCTCGGTTCCGCACTCCGATCAGCCCCGTGCCCACTGTGACCGTGCCGATCCGTCGGGAGGTCTGTATGGACGAGGCGGGGCCCCGCCCCGCCACTGGCCAGGCGCACGGAGCGGCGTGCCGCGGCACCCCAACCTTGCCTGGGAGGCAGATCGATGCACCGATCGTGGACCAGGGGGGGGAGCCTGGGCAGGGGCGGCAGATGCGCACAGTGCGCGCACACGATCGAGAGGTCCGGCTCTGAGGAGATGGGAGTCGCATCCCTCCTCGACTCTGAGCCTCGCAAGGTGTCCCAGGGCTCTACGGCTCCATCGGGATATCAGAGCTTGCAGCGGGGCACCATCTGAGAAGAATGTGTGTTTGCTGCTTCCGGTTGCGGTCGGGGGTCGGGGGGCGGGTAGCAGTGACGCTTGGGTGGGGTGGGCCACGTCGACGCGGATGTGGGCTGCGATCGCCATGGTGGGCCGTATGTCCGCGCGAGCACCAGCATGTGCGGGGGGTCCAGGTCACCCCTATACGTACGATCGTTACCGTTTCCCGGGTGGGGGGCGGGTAGCCACCAGTACACGCCAGAGGATAACAACAGCAGTCTCCTGGCATGCCAGTTGCGAATTTGGCGTGCCTTCTGTACAGACCTCGCCGGCATGGCAGCGCCGCAGACACCGCCAGCGGGGAGGTAATTAAGGGGGCCCAGCGCCGAGGCAAGCCATCCGCGCGGACGCCGCTTGCTCCTCCACTCCGGGTGCTGCTTTTGCCACCCAGACGCAGCGGAGGCTCGTCCTGGGCCCTCCCCCGGGGCCACGGAGCCGAAGACACCCCTGGGGGAGGGGAGGGGGGCCCAGGGCCAGGGCAAGCAACCCGAGCGAGAGCCGACCGAGTGCGCAGGGTGACCGAGCCTCTTTGGCCTTTCCGCCGAAGACGTCGCCCGGGGAGAGGGGGGGCCACAGGGCCGAGGCGAGAGACACGAGCGAGCGCCGCACGAGGGCGCAGGGTGGCCGAGCCCCGCTTCCTCTGCGCCGAAAGCACCCGCCGGGGGGAGAGGAGGGGAGCCCCGCCCCGGCCGAGGCAAGAAAGCCGAGCGAGCGCCGCCGGAGGGAGCAGGCGGTCGAGCCCCGTTTCCTTGCAGGGGGCGCCGCGCCGCCCGCCGAGCGCCCGAGGTCTCCCGGGCGGGCGGTGCCCGGAGCTCGGCCAGCCCTCGCCCCGCGCGTGCGCGCGCTCGCGCGCGCTGGCAGAGGCCTCCCAGATGGGGCCAGAGCAGTGCGAGGCCAAGAGCTGCAACAAAGTTTGGGGCCAAGAAGCAGGAGTGCTCGAGCGGTCAGAAATCGCCGGGGCCGCGTCCCTCGACCTCACGCGGATCACAGCAGGTGTCAGGAGCTGAAACGCCAGCTGGGGGTCACAATGCCAGGGGGAAGCATAAAAGCGATTGCCGCCTACTACGTTTTGTAATTCTGGGGCTGGCATTAGTTGGGGTCGGAAAGGATGCATCGGCGATAGATCGGCGACGTCGGCGATGCATCGGCGACGCTGGCGCGGAGAAAGACGGCCTCCACATCGAGCCGCATCGCCGATGCATCGGCGACGCGGCTCGATCCTGCGGACCCCATCTGGGAGGCCCAGAGCTTGCGCGTGCGCGGCGGCGCCCCGTCAGCAGCGCGAGGCCTCTGCAGGAGGGCACCAACTTTGTTGCACCTGCACGCCAGTCCTGGCCTGGCCCGTCCTAAGCCCAAAGTGCGCACACACCCCTGGCCTGGGCCCAGGTATCCAACGATGTTCTTACATGGCCTTGGCTGGGCACCGGGACCGCCAACAGAAGCGCCTCTGGACGACAAACCGGCCCTGGGGTCGGGAATTCTGGGAACCCCGTATGAAACAATCCAGCCAGCGGATCTCTGGGGCAAGGACGGCAGATGCACTGGTCCTGGGCTCAGGATGGGCGTGGCCATGTATCGGTGCGGGTGTAGCAGTTTGGGCGCCCTCCCCTGAGATCCGACGCGTTGCAAGCAAACATAGCAGAATCGCAAAAATTCCACGACCAGAATCCTGAACCCGGTTTTCCTGAGACATGTTTCGAGCCAGATTGCCATGTGAGGTCGGCGGCGAGCGAGGGGGGGAAGTGCGATGGAGAAGGCCTTCTCCGAAGTCGGCGGGACTTCTCAGAAGCCCTGGCGCCTTCTGAAAGGTTGCCTGCGTCTCCGGGGAAGGCTCAGAAAACTTCTCAGAAGGCCAGGGGACTTCCGAGCCGTCTCAGAAAGCCCGCCCCTTCTCACTTTCCCCCCCTCGCTCGCCGCCGAGAGACACGTTTCCGCCCAGATCGACATTTGGGGGTCCTGGGGCCCCCAGAAAACGCATTCGCCCGTCGTCAACAAGAACTGCCACGCCCGGATCTCAGGGCCCCCGAGCGCCTGTCCCCACGGGCGGATGCCCACGACGCCGTCCTCGGTCAGGTCGACCTCTGTGGGCGGCGCAGACCCACGGTTGCGGCAATGGGTCATTCTGGGGGGGGGAGCGCCATCCTCGCCATCGCTCGGACATCCATATTCCCCGTGCATGCTCCGGTGTCGTACATACTTTTGTGGCAAGATGGTCCAGGATGCTCTTCGAGGGTCCCCGCCGAGAAAGTCCACACGCTCGAGCGATGCCAAGTGCCAGGAGCTTTGGCCACCCACGACTTCCACGCGACTCCCCAACGAGTACGCGCAGCCCATACGAGGTCTCTGGAAGTACCGACCCCTTCCCCAAGGGCGTCTTCTCGTCCCGAGCCGTTCTCTGGCGGACCCGGGGCCTGGCGAGGGCCCCCATGAGACGAAGCCAGGACGAGGACAAAGTCGGGTGAGGATACAGCGAGAATCTCTGAGATGACAAAGTCGGGTGAGAATACAGCGAGAATCTCTGAGATCCAGCGGCTCTGGAGGATGCCTCGGGCGCCGCGGCCTTCTCAGAGCGTTCCGGAGCCTTCTGAGAGCGTTCCGGAATGCCATGGAACGGATTTATCCTCGTCCCAGCCCCGTCCGACCCCAAAGAGGCCGAAAAGAGCGGAGGACCCTCGTCTTGATTTGTTCCACACGCTGGATGTCTGGGAACGCCTGGGGGAAGAATGATACATATCTCGCCGCCAGAAGCGCTGCCCACCCCCGCGAGAGGACGAGGGGGGGTCCTCCCACTATAAACCCAGACTGACATTACGCAACGTGTGCCTCGACGCGCGGTGGAGGTGCGCCGAGGTGCGGCGCAGGGCGCGGGCTCTCTCGGGCGTGCGCGCGGACGCCTCGTGTCGGCCCGGACCTGAAGATTTTTTCCGAGCTGGGCGTGTTCTCGCCATCGCTCGGGCGTCCATTCCCCGTGTACTTGTTGATCTGGTTCGTGTTTCTTTTTTTCTCTCACAAGATGGTCCAATATGCTCCTCGATGGTCCCTGCCAGGGAGAAATGCGCACGCCCGAGCGACGCCAAGAGTTCGCCTGGTCTCGGGCCCTGGGACCCTCCCAGATCAATCAGGCTCGAAAAATCACGCAGAAGGATGGGGTCCGGGGCTCTCGTCGCAAGTGTCAGCGACATGACATTCGTCCGCCACGTCGGATCTCAGGGGAGGGGAAACGTTCGGAGGGGGAGACTTGCTCAGGAGGGGAGGGAGGTCCCGAGCTGGAAGAAGCGACACACCGTTCATGGATCGGCGACCGGCTCCCGATAGCGAGTCCGCCCGTTCCAGGGCTGGACGGGCTCCATGGCCCCTATCGGAGACGAATGGAGGCTCTATCTCCGGTCTGAAGGCGTTTGTGCGTCCACCCTGAGTGCTCTTCGTCCATCCAGACGGGATGGAGGCTCGGCCTCCGAGGTTGAAGTTTCCGATGCTCTGAGCCTTTCCCCAGCCTGTGGCGCTGGAGACACCGCCATTGCAGGGGAGAGGGGGGACCAGCGTTGAGGCAAAAACCTCGCGAAGACGTTCAAATCACAAATGCGCCCAGGAATCATGTGTACAAATATATATATATATATATATATGTATGCAAATACCTATATTTGTAATTGTACACATATTCTGAACCGTTTTGGGGTCAGGAAATAATGCTTGAGCGGCCCAAGACTGCCAGAGCCGCGCATCTGAATTATAAGAGGCAGCAAAACCTGAAATGTCAGCTGGGGGTCACGATGCCCAGGGGGAAAGCATCATGCATCTCTCGCCGAAGGGAGCGCCGCTACCCCCACCGCTGACAAAGGACGGGCCTCCCTTGTCAACTCCAGGGCTAAAGCTACCCTGGAAGACACATATTGGTTGCTCATTTCCCCAGCGGCAGCTACATTCGGAAGAACCGCATGGTATCTAAATTTCCTCCCTGAATCCTGTGCGTTGTACAGCGCTTCCGTACGGAAAATTAGATACGAATATGTATGTTTCAAAAATAGATACGTTTAGATACGACTTCTTACTTGTTTAGATGCGGGAGGTATTTTTTCAAAGTTTAGATACGGTGCCATTTCTAGATACTAATCGATATGTTTAGATATGTGTAGATACGGTTCAATATGGCGCCAATCGCTGGAAAACACGTTTACCGCAAATAGATACGAATAGATACGGCGCCATGTCTCCTACGCACGCCCACGATCGATCATTCTCGCCCATCGCTCCTCTTGGATCCTTCTCATCCACCCTCCTCGGTGCTCATCTTCTCTTCTCTTCTTTCGCCACATCCTGAGTGGGGTTATTGTTCCCCGCATCCTGAGTGGGGTTCTTGTTTTCCTAAAACACCCTCTCCTGTTCCTTCTGACTCCTTCTCCTTCTCCTGCCTCCCTACTATACCATACCAAGGCGTACCATACAAATGCTACGCCTACCTACCAAACCATACCTACCACACCACACCTACCATACCATACCCACCATACCATACCAATCCTACTATACCAGACCATACTTACCATATCATGCCATACTATGCCATACCTGCCAAACCTACTATACCATACCTCTCCTCCTCCTCCTCCTCCTCGTCCTCCTCCTCCTCCTCATCATCATCATCTTTGCTCTCCCCATCCTACGGTACCCTGTTCCTACCCAGTTCTCTCCAAAATTTCGTTTCGTCGTTGTTATCCATCCTACTCCTCGTAGTTTTTGTCGTCGTCGCTCGTCCCCTCACTCCTCATCGCTACGGCATCCTACTATCCTCATTCCTGTGTTCACTGCCTCGACCAATATCATGGATCTTGTTCGTGCCGGGAGCACAGCCAACTGCATTCTTTCTGCGCGGCACTGCCATTCTTTGTAGAATAAGTACGAATATACTGTTTTCCAAGAAGAAAAATAAATACGGTCCCAAAATTTTAGAGATGCTTGAAAAATCTGAACGTTTAGATAAGGCGGCGCTCCCGCGCAGGCCGGGGGCGCGCATCTGAAAAAATGAAAAAAGTAGCTATATTGTCCTCGTTGCAGAAAAATAGATACGATGGGCTTCTCGCCTGCGCCAGGGCGCGATCGCATCTAAACCCATCTAGCATTTTCAGATACGTCTTGCAAGGCACGTCATCGTAATTCTGCGTCTGGCATTCCTCGGTCCCCCGGGATCTGCGAAGCTCCGGATGCCCAGAAACAAGCGCCCCCCCCCATGGCAGGAGGAGACCTGACCTATCCCCTGAGATCCGCCCATTGCGGGAAAAAAAAACGCAACACTCCCAGAAATCACAAACGGAGCCCTATCGATCCCACCTTTCTGCGGCATTCGTCAAGCCTGTCGAGCCGGATAGATCTGTGACGGCCCGTGGGCCCGGACCCCGACGAAGACGCCCGCCTCTGACTTCGGATCCAGCGTACAACCTTGGGCGATTTGGCTAGTATGACGACAATTTCTGACCTACTTTTCACGCTCCTTGGATGCCAATCTCCGCCCTATTTTGCCGTCGCTGTTTCCGCCATGTTTTTGGGTAAATATCCTCCCCATTTGGCTGAGGTGGAAATTTCTGTTTTACTTGTGTGCATTGTTTGGGGTGCCCTCCATTACTCTAAATCGAAAATCGGCAAAGGAAGGCACGACGGATCCGAAGCCAAGGGTGTGTGAAGACATCGCACCTCTCGTATCTCAGGGCTTTCTGATAGCCCGCTGGCGACCATCATGCCCATGGACGGCAATCGAAGGACAACTAAATAAATAAAGTTCGGAGCTCCGCGCGAATTTCTCGGATCGGTGCTAATCCTCCTCCTTGGTGCGCGGAGCGCGCCAGGGGCGGCGCCACAGGCGCCGCGAAGAGGGCTCCAGCACCGATCCGAGAAATCGATGTTCATGCCACTGATTGTCCTCCGAGACAGAGGCATCATGTTTGCTGATGTTTCTGCATATGTTTAGGATCATACAACTGTTTCTGATTATGTCTATTAGTGAGGCCGGCTAGATGAGGTCGGCGTAGATGGGGTTGGAGGATCACGCCGCATCGTCGATGCATCGGCGATGCATTGCCGATGCATCGGCGATGCACCAGCGGCGTCGGCGATGCATCGGCGCCGTCGGCGTGGAGATCATTGGGCTCCACATCGAGCCGCATCGCCGATGCACCCAAAATGCGGCGCGATCGACCCCATCCGCTCGGACCCCACATGGGAGGCCCAGAATCGTTTTTCACTGTTTCTTCCTAGAGAGAATGGCACTGTGCTTGCTCATGGGGAGACCAAAAGATACCGATACCGCTACTCCCCGGACCTCTCCCAGAGTTCTGACCAAGATTTCGAGGCGAATCCAACGGTGGCGACGAGGGCCTCCCAGGAGGCCCAGCAAGGGGAAAATGAGGCACAGGTAACGGTATGGTCATCCCAGACATGCGACGTCCTGATTTTCTCAGGACGGGGTCCCCGGAAGTCCCGACCCGTTCCCCGGGACCAGTTTTTCATCCTGCGTAGTTTTTTGACGCTCCCGAGGCCTGGCGAAGGCCCCCCGAGGCCGAAAATCGCCAAAAACCTCCGGTCCTGATTTTTCTACGGCGCGATCATGTCTGGGTATGGGTATCTCTTCCTCCACTGACTTCGTGCCATTGTCGCATGGCCCGCTGGCGACCATCGTGCTCATGGACGACGGCGGGCGCCCGCTGCGCGGGCGCACCGCGGCATGCAGCCCGGCACCGGCCGACGCCGGCCGGGCGGTGGACGCCGGAGAGGCGGGCGGCGGCCAGTGTAGCGCCGCCCTCGTCGACCAGCCACAACTGGGGGAGCTGCGGTCCTTACCCCCCTGGGGGAACCCACCGCATCGATGATCTCTCGACCCAGATCCCCGACGTCACGATTTTTTCATGACGTCGACCCCTGGGAGGTCTCGACCCGTTCCCCCGGACCGGTTTTTCATCCTGAGTCGTTTTGTTGACGGTCCCGAGGCCCAGCGAGGGCCCCCCGAGGCCCCAAAAATAACGAAGAACCTCCCGTCATGATTTTTTCACGACCCGAGGGGGTCTGGGGAGAGGGGTGTCGAAGGCGATGGGCTCCCCAGGGGGGCAAGGACCACATCTCCCCATTGTGGCTGGCCTGCCTCGGCGGCTCCGCCACGGGCTCCGCCCGCCACGCCGCCGGCGCAGGCTCGCCCTCGGCGCTGCCCGGCCGGGCTCCACTCCACCTCCTCGCGCGGGCAGGGGCAGCGAGGCAGGCGGTGACCCGAGAGGAGCGGGGCGGAGGTGCTTGGCATACCCTGCGATCCTGGCGACTCATGCTTTTTCGAGCTGGGCGTCTTTCGCCCGGTTTCGGGCCACGGGGCCCTCACAGGTCGACCCAGCTCGACAGATGAGGTCGTGATTTTTCATAGTGCTGCATGGTGCTGCAATTTTTGTGCAACGCCGGATGTGAGGGTAGCTAGCGGCCTCTCGGGGCCATTGACAGGCCTCGGGGAGAAGGTTTTTGCCTCGTTTGCGAACTCCCGGGGCCATTGCCGGGCCTCGGGGCCGTCAACAACAAGACCCGGGACGAAAAATGAGTCCCGGGGCCCAAAAAGGTCGGGGGCCCGTGACATGAAGAAATCACGCGGGCATAGAGCGCGTTTCTGATGTATTACTATCGATTCTGGCAAGTTTGCTCGCACTGCACTCGGCACACCCCAACACTCCGCCGCGTTTCCAGCACCCCTCAGATCCTCGACGACATGTGTTGTGCAGTCCTGGCGTTTTCCTCGACT